TGTCTGCTGGATTGTGCCAAATACTGTACCTAGATATGTATTTACATTTACATCTTTAATTATATCCATTTGTATATCTATATTCAACTTTCAGATGAAGAAGTAGAGACTCAGTGATACTAACTTGCTTCCTAAAGTCCTATAGCTGATTTAGACCAGGGCTCAAGTTTGAAGGCAGTATTGTGACTTTAATACTTGTGCTCTTTCCACATCATTTGTATTAAAATGTTCCTGTAAGCACATACTTCTCCTTAATTTAGTGGTCATCTGAATACTTCTCCCAAATTACTGTTCCTTGACAACTTAAAAGTTCTACAAGAATCTCTTCAACTACCGAATAAGTGTCCAACTTTGATAAGTGATTTCCTTGAATTGCAGTAATTTGTTTCACATTGGCTTTCTCATCATCTAAAACTCTCAAAAAAACTCAACAGAGAGTTAGAAAGGTGAGGAATCTTCATTTATATATAAATGCATTCAGCCATGGTTCAGAAATCCCATTCTAACTTGATAAAAAGAATAGTTAAACACAACAGGGACCATGATTGTTTTCTCCTTGCATAAAATCTTTCAGAGAGAGGTAATTTTTTTATTCAAATCCTTCCAAATAATTTTGTATACCCCAAAACTATACAAATCAGCTTATATGAGTTATTAGAGAAATCTGACAATGTGTATCCACTAATACTTTCCTAAAATCTCCATGACCAAATTTCCAAAACCTTTGCTGTTTCAGCTTTTATTGATATGTAGAACATTTCAACTGCCATCTCAATAATATCTTAATAATCGAGTATTTTCAGGATGGTGTGTTGTTATTAATATTATTCCCCTGGAATGACGTGGACAGCTCTTCCATGCTCTGCTGTGCCTCGTTTATGCTTGTGATAGTGATCATGAATTCGGTTTTGGAATTTTTAACTCTACTGTTGTCGGCATTGTGCCATGCCATATTTGCGTCTGTGGTGCCTACTGCAGTGTCTGACCAAGAGCTGACAGCTAATTTAGGAGTAGCTAGTTTAGTTGCCCACAAGTGATAGATTCTTTGTAGTAACTCTGACGTCCCCTCACTCCCTCAAATCTCTGAGGTTGGTGAGAACTAGCTATTGCTTCTATCCTCACTATCCAGTTATAACAAAACAAATTTCAGAGTAAATTCTGCCACATGAACAGACGCTTATTAATGAGCACATCTTAGCAAGGAGGCACAGATAGATTCCACAGCCTCTTCTCTAAACTCAGTGAAATTCCAGCAGCCTGCCCCTCTGGGAACTCCAGTCAATGCTGCACCTGAAAGCTCGCCAGGGGAAGCTGCAGCCACACTCCAGGGAAGGGATCTGGTGACTGGATCTTTAACAACTGGTCAGTCCAAAGTCGTCGTGATCCCCAGGTGGACACAGGACCATTTAAGACTCTCACAAGACTGCAGTCATCATCTGCAGTGAATTTGGAGCCCAAGAAAATAAAGTCTTTCGAGGTTTCCATCGTTTCCCCATCTATTCCCCATTAACAGTTGCTGTTACTAAATCTCACATGTATCCTGTCAGGAGATTTTGATTTAACACCTACCACAGGTCAGACACTGTGCTAGACACCAGGGTCATAATGCTATCTTACAAGCTAGTGGGAGAGACACAAGCAATTTAATCGCTAGAGTATAAAGTGATAAATGCCGGATTAAAGTCACACCCAGGGGGCCAACGGAATCCCAAAGAAGAGCAGCCAAATCAGACTCAAATTTTGTCTGAGTGTAGCTTCTACAAGAGACGGTTCTTGAGGTAGTATTAGAACACTACTGTGAGCTGATTTAGATGCACCCAGTGGAAGGAATAATTTTGGACAGGAGTATTATAGCAGAGCAGTTCTGAAGGAGGAGAAGTTAGAAATCTCACAGCCCATTTTAAAACTGTACGTAGTTCAGAATGGCTGGAGGGTCATGGAGAGTGAGCAGAGTGGAAAGAGAGGCGCTCAGGGGACGAGGTCAGTGAGGTTTACACGTCAAGGTAAGGAGTCTGAACTTTCCTGAAAGATACGGAGTACAAGGGAGGATTTTAGTCATGTATATTTTGGAAAGATCATTCCAACAGTAATGTGTAGGATGGATGGAAGTAGGATTGGGAAGGGACAGTTGATGAGGGGGTTTGTGGTAAAAGTTTGAGCAAAGACATAAGCCACTGAGAAGAGTGAAAGGGGCAGACTCAAAAGAAGGAAACCAGAGGACTTGAGACTGAGTGGATATAAAGTGTGAGAAAAACTTAGACTATCTCTGCCTCGGGCAATTGTATGGATGGTGTTACACAACAGGTGTTAAATGACTGAATGAAGAAATGATCAAATGAACAGTGACTCCAATAGGAGGCATTTATTCTTTACTTTAGGACGACATCCAGGGCTTCCCACATGGCACCAGTGGTAAAGAACCCGCCTTCCAATGCAGGAGACATAAGAGATGTGGGTTCAATACCTCGGTCAGGAAGATCCCCTGGAGGAGGGCATGGCAACCCACTTCAGTATCCTTGCCTGGATAATCCCATGAACAGAGGAGCCTGGTGGGCTACAGTCCATGGGGTCGCAAAGATTCAGACACAACTGAAGAAACTTAGCATGGACGGATGGAGACACCCAATAAATAAGTTGTCCTTAGGAGTTATAGAAACATCAAAGTGGGAGGCAATGATGAGAGCTTTCTGTCTTATCAGTTACTAATACAATCCACTGGATTCTCCTTCTCTTGCATGGCTTCTGGTTTTATAGGCTCAGGTCCTTCTACTTCTTTAAGCACTTTCACTGTCGATGTTTATTCTTGCTGGTCAACCTAGTAATGATTATAACTTATCACAGTATATATTTTATTTTGCAAGCACTGTAATCTCATAAATACATGCTAAATAATCTGTAGTTAGCATAGCTTACTTTACACAATTCTCTCTTGAAGTAATGGACAGCTTAGATTTAGAAATTGAAAGTAATTAATAAACTAAGATGTGTTTTACAGCTGCATCAATATTATGAATTATTCTAAGTGATTCTCCCTGGGCAGAACCACTGGTCCATTAAGCACATATATTCATATATTTAAAATAGGAACATATACTTTTATTGATACTCTACTCCAGTTGCTCTATCATACAAATGTATATTCTTTCCTAATTAAATATAGCTAAAATTCCTAAATAATATCTCTTCTTTAATAAAATGTAAATTTTCCCTGAAAATTCTCTAACACTTTAAGTGTAAGAATAGAAACAGTAAAACCAAGATATAGAATTCAATAAATAGTATGGTTAACTGGAAAAGCAATTCTATACCACAAATAACCTTTAACCTTTTAAAGATCTTGAGAACAGTGAAATACATTTAACTATAAACTTCATGGAAAATCATTACAACATATAACAATATTTTAAAGCTTATCAAGAGATTTTTTTAGAATATGAAGCTTATATTTTTAAATGTAATGTCAGAAGTCCATTATTATGCTATGGATGTTTGAAAATGTAATTTCTATTAAATGCTTTTCTATGAAATTGAATACTGAATAGTAGATTTTACTATACCAAAGCCAAAGAAGAATGTAGACAATGGGACAAAAGCAGAATGGTTTATTGTGCCACCAATTATAATATAACAAAATATGCCAAATAACATATTGAATATGTATTTTATAGCTTTATATGGAAAAACAGTGTAAAATAATGAGAAATTAACTATTAAAAAGTTACATCCCTTAAATATAGAGAATCACAAATATTCAGAGAATCACATGCATATTTAAATTAAGAGGTTGGAGGTTTATTTAAGAATAGACTGTTTTATTAATATGTTAAACTCTAGAAGAATCCCAAATTATAGGGTTTTAAATGACTACAGTTGGAGAAATTTTTCCAAGATAAAGCATGTGACTCAGAAATAGTGTTACAGACTTATTTCTGTCAAAATATCTTCCAGCATATTGTTTTAATTGAAATAACCTAATTGAAAAAAATTCCAAGGAATAAAGAATTTAGCTAGTGAAAATAGCACTGAAATACTTATGCATACTTTGTTTCTGATTATTCAGTAGAAAGTTTTAGTACCTCCTCAAATCTTGAAAAAGTACTACTATATCTTTATTTGATATTCTAAGAAAATATTTCTCTTTCCACTTTGTATTGCTTCTAGTTAAATAACAATTGTATGCCGATAATAAGAATTGCACAGATTAAAAACTGCACAGTTAAAAACAGAATAAAAGAACAGATAGAACGGGTCACTAGAATAATTACATTGTGCTCTATTGAACAAACAGTAGCACATGATTTGGAAGACAAGAAATCATAAGACAAGTCAGTGCTTAAATAAGCATTTTTGAGGTAAACCTCCATCATTCTAAATATTCATGTTACAGAAAATATCTATAATCACACTGCATGGAAAATTTCTTTTGCATATCCTTTAATTCATTTAACATTTTCAGATGTTTGAAGCAAGCAGAACTATTTCAGTCTCATAGGCTTTGGGCCCAAGTCCAGTTCATCAAATTGAGAATGGTGTCAATTACATTTTGGGGAATAGGTAACAAAAAAATCAACAGGCAAGAAACTTGGTTTCACATAGCTGCTCTCCTATTGTTTGATACAGATGTGACTTTCCTAAGAAAGATAACAAAAATGACCTCTAAAATATATTCAAGATAAGTAATAAATCAAAAAGACAGATCATTATAAACTTATAAACAGGTGAGCACAAGCATGCATGTGTGTGACTATACATATACCCTTCCATCTATCTTTCTGAATGCTTCTCTTTCCAGGCTCAGCTTTTTTAAGAGCACAAAAAACAAACAGAATAAAGAGAATCATAGAGATATACATTCTGGTGTTTGATACTTCACATTCATCTCTCCACACTTAGTGCTGGTGACATGTTCATATCTGTGCCGCCTTTCTTGCTTCTACTTGAGCTTAGTCTCCGGCNAAACAAACAGAATAAAGAGAATCATAGAGATATACATTCTGGTGTTTGATACTTCACATTCATCTCTCCACACTTAGTGCTGGTGACATGTTCATTAAAAAAAAAAAACTAAATCCCCCATGGAGTACATATGATATTAACAAAATCTTCATCATCTACTATCCCTATACTTAGACCTTCATAGTAATCTTCAAATTCACCATATGACACCTCATCAGACTTGTTGCAGGCATCTTTTAATGTCTCTAGAAAAGATGATTTGATTTCTTCCTCTGTGGAGTGTCCTGTAAAATAGTACTGACTATGAAACCATGTCCTTAAAAGTCCAGTGAAATGGCTGACAATAAAGAAATACAATGTATGGCAAAAACCACTACAATATTGTAAAGTAATTAGCCTCCAACTAATAAAAATAAATGGGGGAAAAAAAGAAAAAAAAAGAAATACTTAAGTCACCTGATGAAATCTTTTCAGCAATTTGAAATCTTATGCCAAACTACCCATCAATTTATTTAAACATTTACTTGCATGAACTAGAATTTAATGATGGGGACTTAACTATACATTTGAGGCATCTTTTAAAAAAGTCTGATAGGGTATATCCTATATATGTATGGGCAAAATAACAGCTACTACTGTAGATATTTTTGTATTTGTTAATGTTTTAGAGAACTCAGTTTCACTCCCATTAGAAGTGAGGAAAGAAGAAAACAATTTCACTGATATATAGGCTGTTAACACAGTAATGCAATGTGTGAAAGGCATTAGTTACTTTATGAAGCAGTTACTCATAACTGCAACTGGAAAATATTACTAGGATTCAGGATTCAGAGGCCTATAAAAATCTTTGCTGGATGAACTTCCAGTTAATTAAATCATTCTAATTTAATCTCTGACATTAAGTAGGCTATTTCTACTGGTGGGTTATATTGAACATGTTTAATTTTAAACTATAGGAAGATGCTATTGAGAATCACATATGTAAAAAAATTTTAATTCTTTAGTTTGCTATTTAAAGTGAGAACATAAAACATCTAAGTCATCCTTTTTAAAAATTGATTTTTTAGCTTAGAACAATAAGCTATTGAAATAAGTATCTCTGATTGTATTATGACTGGTTAAAGAGAAGGAGTGATTTCAGCTTAAATACCTTTTTCTTTAAGTAATTTTTGTATTTTCAACTTTAAATAGACATATGTATGTTTATTCCCTTATTCTGCCTTAAATCTTCAACCATAAGCAGACAATAAAACTCAGAAGACTTGCTCCTCAATTATAAATGTAAATGAAAAAAATAAGTACAAATAATAGACCTATGAATTTTTAAATGAAGAAGCTCTCACATTTCTGGTTTAAAAAATTAACTATTTCCTCTCTTAATGGCCTCAAGTCCATGCTATAAATTATAGATACACTATTAACTCACATTTTTGAAATCTAGTGCATTTTTTTCTTTTTTAAAATTTATTTATTTTAATTGGAGGCTAATTACGTTAAAATATTGTGGTGGTTTTTGTCATACACTGACATGAATTAGTCACAGGTGTACATGTGTCCCCCATCCTGAACCCCCCTCCCACCTCCCTCCCATCCCATCTCTCTGGGCCATCCCAGTGTCCCAGCTTTGAGTACCCTGTTTCATGCATCGAACTTAGACTGGTGATCTGTTTCACACATGACAATATACATGTTTCAAAGCTATTCTCTCAAATCATCCCACCCTCGCCTTCTCCCACAGAGTCCAAAATTCGATCCTTTATATCTGTCTAGTGCATTTTGACTTGTAGTAGTTACCTGAAATTACTTGAGGATGCTTCTTTGCACAATAACATTTTCTTATGTCTATAAGAGACACACTGCCTGTTTTGTTAAAATCCAGTTTCATAAAGGCCTAAATAAAGAGAAAAATGTTATTTTTTCCTATGAAATCATTAGAACCTAATTTTCCATTCCGCAGTAGGCTATTTTTGAGCTCCAAACAAAGCAGTTTAAAGTACTAAACTGGAATATGCAGGGAGCGTCATTAATACAAGGGGAAAGATACTGGAGCAAGATATTAGGTGACCTGCACTTGAGCATTAGTTCTACCACTTTCTAGCACCCTGACCTTGAGAAAGTAATTTAACCTCTGTTACCCTGGCTTTCCTCTTTTTAACACTGAGGAGTTGGGTAAAAAGCTCACAGTAAAGAATCTGCCTGCAGTGCAGGAGATGAGGGTTTGATCCCTGGGTCCAGAATATCTCCCAGAGAAGGGAAGGCCAACCCATTCCAGTATTCTTGCCTGGAGAATCCCTTAGACAGAGGAGACTGGCAGGCTACAGTCCATGAAGACGCAGAGTCCATGCTAGCGACTTAAGCATGCCTGCACGCTAGGAGACACATGAAGCTGATAAATGGCTGGGACTATTTTGATTCAAAAAGTAAACCTGAAACATTCTATCACTAAAATCAATGAGAAAATGAAATGATTTTTAAATGGATTTTGTTACTCTATTTCCTGAAACTTAACACTACCTTTTGAAATGCTAATTGCTTTACTGCTCCTTTAACTCAATGCAATCCTGTGAATCACAAAATGTATTTTATTGAGAAAAGGAGTGGATCCATAGAAACACACAACAGACCCAAAGCAACATCCCACATTTGCAGATGAGTCAAAACTAGAATGAAGCTTGTTTATTTACAATAATGTCACATATATACGGTACCTCTTGCAGGCGGAATTGCATCCTCTCCAAAATTCATTTGTTGAAGCCCTAACTCCAAGTACTTCAGAGTGTGACTGTAGAAGATAGAGTCTTTAAATAGGTGACTAAGTTAAAAAGAAATCATTAGAGTGGACCCTAACCCAGTATTACTGGCGTCCTCGTAAGAAGAGGAGGTTAGGACACAGACAGCACAGACTGGGGGGCTGACCCCGAGAACACACAGTGAGAAGACAGCCCATCAGTTACAAGCCTCGGAAGAGACCAACCTGCTGACACCTCCATCTTGGGCTTCTAGTCTCCAGAATTCTGAGACAGTAACTTTCTGCTATATAAGTCATCCAATGTATGGTATTTGTTGTGGTACCCCTAGCAAACTAAGACGTTTGCTTATTCCCTGGATTTAGAAAAGGCAGAAAACCACTGATCAAATTGCCAGCATCCGCTGGATCACTGACAAAGCAAGAGAGTTCCAGGAAAACGTCTGCCTTTGCTTTATTGACTACACCAAAGCCTTTGACTGTGTGGATCACAACAAACTGTTGAAAATTCTTCAAGAGATGGGANAGTCCTGGGTGTTCATTGGAAGGACTGATGTTGAAGCTGAAACTCCAATACTTTGGCCACCTGATGTGAAGAACTGACTGCTTAGAAAAGACCCTGATGCTGGTAAAGATTGAAAGCAGGAGAAGAGGACAATAGAGGATGAGATGGTTGGATGGCATCACCGACTCAATGGACATGGGTTTGAGTAGGCTCCGGGATTTGGTGATGGACAGGGAAGTCTGGCATGCTGCAGTTCATGGAGTCGCAAAGAGTCGGACATGACTGAGTGGCTGGACTGAACTGATTCCCAGAACCGAGACTTACGAAGGAGACAGCCCTTCAGTTTCTGTTCTAGACACTCACACCCATCACCAGGACATGTAAAGTAAAAATGAATGCAAATTTATAAGCATTATGTGGTGAATTTAACATAAGGTTTTTGTCTTGCCTTTTGACCAGTAAAGATATAGATTTTTATAGTTTCCATTTGTGCCCAATGTAATTGTTCAGACTACTCTATACACAATCTTTGTTCCAATATGGGATATATATACATTTCATATTAGATACATATACAAAAGAAAAACCTCATTTTCAAAAGTATGCTTTAAAAATGGCTACTAGAACCAAAGTTATATGTTTTCTCCTACAAAACTTAGGGCTCTTTTTTTAAATTATTGTTTAACATGGTCATTTTAGTCTTCATTTTAACATTTAGCAAGCATATTTTAAAAGTAGAGAAATATCTTTAAGTCATCATCCTAAGATAATATGCATTGAGCTTGGACACTTGGACAGCTATGATGCTAATAATTTTACATGTATTATCTTAGACCAGTGCTATGAGATAAGAAACTGAGGCTTGGGGAAATATTTAATAATTGATATAGACATATAGCTTATATGGAGCCAGCAATTTATGGAATTAACAGTTTGAAAACTGAAATTTAATTTCAGATTTTATTTTCTTTTTACGGTATTTTCCTTAAACATAGGTTGTTTTGTGGTATAATGGGTAGATTTGTACATGTATGTGTGTTTTTGTGCCTTACTAAACCCACAGTACACTGCAGGGAAAGGGATTTAAAACTTTTCCCATGGTAGTTCATTAACGATTTAAGAATGAACCTAACCATCTAGTAAAAGCAACTATTTGAAAGGTTACTTTACAAAGTTACCTTTCGAACAAATGACTTCCTATATTCATTCATTTCACCGATTATGGCACGTTTGAATTCTCCGTAATCAGCCCTGCCATCGCCGTTGCCATTGCCACTGCTATTTAGAATTAGCCACAAAGACTCAAAATCCTAGAAATAATCACAGAGAGACTATTGTTACAACTGTAAGTTACATACGGCTGTGACTATAATCATCATAGTATTTTGCAGCCATGTATCTTTTGTTTAGGGCTATACCTAGCCCTAGACAAGGTAGTAGATTTAAGGAAATTCCAGAAAGTTGCATATAAATCCAATCAAAGGTACTAAGAAAGCTTATTTAGAGGAACTCTGCAATGGAGATAGTTCCATAAAGTTCAGAAACATTTAAGAGTGGTAATAAATCAAGTATATCATTTTAAATTCATTCCTTTCAATAAATATGCTGCCATTTACTTGAATTTGACCGTTTAATTATTCGTAATATATTATATCTGTGACAATTAAGAAGTCACTTCACTTACCGGAATGACTCAAATAGGATGAGGACCACTAATAATAAGAGAATCTATATGAAGTGGCATAAAGAAAACATTCACACTTTGGGTAAATGGTATAGAAAGGATCAGGGTTGGGACGGGATGCGCCTTTAGGTGGAGGTGTCAGTGAAGTGCTCTGAGTAGAGAAGACCCGAGTGATGAGAAAATCCAGCCCGCAGACACAGAGGTCTGCTGGACCTCCACTCACATGGAGGGAACCGTGGGTGTAAAGGCTTTGGGGCGTCCTGGAATGGTCACACCCCTCTCCTCTTGAAGCCTTCACATACGCTTCTCCCTCTTCTCAAGTAGCCTCTGTCTATGCTCCTCCTCCCCTCTTGTTTGCCTAATTCCCCCTCATCCTTCAAAACTCAGTTCTGATACATGCCCACCCCAGAAATCCCATGGACTTCCTTCTTCTCCATAACCTGGCTTGCAATTTATCTCACATGTCCCGAAAGCATTCTCTCTTTAACACTTAGCATGCTTTTTCTGTAATCATTTATATCTTTCTTTCTTTTGATTATAAAGACCTGAAGAGTACAAAGTATGTCTTCTCAGTGTTAGAACAATGCCTGCTTATTAGGTTCTTAATAAGCATATGAAGGAGGGATGAATGTTGACATTTAAAAAATCAACAGGATTTTTCTGACAGCTTAATACTGATAATGAGGTATAAAGAAGGAGACAAATGAACTACAAAAACTTCAGTAAAAAAGTGAATAAGGCCACTTAAGAATAATAGTCACTCACTGCGGAGAATTTTCTGTGGTACCTACATTTTCAGACACTTCTAAGCGAAATAATTTTAGAGCTTGCTTAAAATCTGCCTTATCTAAAAGTCCATTTCCTTCTTTGTCCAGTTGTTGAAGGTATTTTCCCAATCCAGTCAAAATACGAACACCTCTTTTATGTAGTTGCTCTTTCAGCATGTCTGTTTAGGAAGAAGAGTGATGGAAACTAATTATCCCTATACATAAATGAATCAAATTGCAATTGTCTCTCTGGTAAGAAAAAAAAAGTTGATATATCTGATATAAGGGATGTGAATATGCAACCAGATCATATGTATGACTGGCAAAAGGCTTTGAAAAATAGAATGCTTTTAGTCAAGTGGGTTATACACAAAATCACACGTGAAATATATCAGAGCTATAGCACCACTGTGTGGTGAGAGTGTTATATTTTAAATATAGGAAAGTAACGGTTCACTTTATCAGCATGAAAATAACCTCAGCATCACAAATAAAATCTTCATTTTTAAAAAATTTTCCAGGCTTCCACTTCACCTGATGAGTCTATATTTTTAACATTTTTCCTCTTTCTTTGCTATTACCAACTGAATTACAAATTTTTAAGTGAAGTACCTGACAGTTTATCAGTTCCAAATTTCTAAAATCATTTGAAATCTTCAAATTGTAGCATATATTTAATAACATCAAGGTTTTAGAATGCTATCCTATACTTTTACACTTAAAGTAACCCTTTTTGCTATGAATTTATAAGAAGTTATATCCCTAGGCCCATTCTCTTTGTGGGGCAGATTTCATTTGATGCAGTTCGCACCATCTTCACTTAAGAAAATACAGGTATCTTTACCAAAGCAGTTATTAAATATACTGCTTAGAGGGGAAAAAAATGTCACTAGATACAAGGGTGAAAAATCATACTGATCATGATAGAATAAACTTTATTAACAATAGCATCAAGAATATTTCAGAGATCAAATACCAATCCTAGACAACTTTTAAATCTGCTTTTAGCCTTGTTACTCCCATATCATCTTTATATGATAAATCAGGACTTATCAAAATTTATAAATTATTGTTGATTTCTGTGATTACTGGTTTAATGTCTTCCTGCCTTCTTGACTATGAGAGTTAACAAAGGACTTGTCTATTTGAACCTCATAAACTGTACTAAAGACTCTAGAAACAAATCTTTAAAATATTTTAGTGTACAAACTACATATATTTCACATATTATCTACAACAACTCTGAAAGTTAATGAGGTTATTATACCCATTTTAGACATAAAGAAAGAGGTACAAGAGATATACACAAAGTCACATGTCTACTGAATGGAGAGTCCAAACAGGGCTTCCAGTCTAGTATTTTTTTCCTACACTAGGCCACCACAAATCTTTTTATGATACCACAATATAAAATGAGTACTACATTGTAAAAATCACATATCCATTTCATAGATAAAAACCACACTATCTAGTGCTTTCTAAAATTTTTAAGTTCATAAATGATATAATACTAGTTATTCAGTTAGACTCATTGAAGTAGGAGAAATCCTAAAAATATTTTTAAATATGTATTTGTGTCTAAAGTAAAAAGATAGGAAGCAAATAGGCAATATAAATGAAGTGTCATAAAACTAAGTAATATCTGGAAAACACTGCTTTACTCCTTACAAAGAAAATGGTTGAAAATTAAAACTATTTGAGAGTGTAGTAATGATACACACCTTGAATTGCCTTGAAAATCATCCTATCATTAGCTTCTTCATTGGTTACATCATCATGTTCCACAGAATCAGTTCTGTAATTGACATGTTCGCCATAATACAAATATACTGTTTTGCAGTCTTAGTATTGGAACTCTAAGATTTCCCTGCTTTAGACTCAAAAAATTCTCAAAGAAAGATAGAAGAGTACTTAGAGATTAATCAAGTCTCCCACCTTTGCTTGCTGCTTTAATGCTTGCTGCTTTAATCCTGAATATGCTAAATCAAGACTAAAATCCTTACATCTCCCAAGAACTACCTTTAAGCATTATATTCAGTTTTATAATTATTTCAATCTTCTTTTTAAAAACTTAATTAAAATTATTATTTAAAAGCAATTTTACCTTTAAATGTAAATACACTATTTTAAAAAGAAAAAAAAATGCAATCATATTGTACAATACAGTAAAAGACAAGCACTGACTTCCTTATAGCCAGTTTATGGCTATGAGGCCATAATGGCCTCTAATGCACCGATAGTACACCGGTTACTGTAATCGTGACCAAAAAAGCACTCCATAAGAATAGCATAAATATTTTCAGCAATTAAAAAAAAACCACAAAACTCAAATTCATTTAAAGCTTTTGATTCATAGCATTATTTTTTCACTATGTATATTATTAATCAATGAATACCACAAGCATGTGGGACCCAAGATTTTTTTAGTGCTTAGAAGAAGCAGCACTCTAAAAACATGGGAAAAGTTATTATATTATACTGTATCTCATCTTTTAAAATGTATTACTTTGTAGCATTTACTAAAATTAAAATGTTATAATATAGGCAAATTAATAAAGTACTTTAACTAACTTAAAATGGGACATCTTAAATCTCCATTTGATTGTAACTGTTCCCACACATGGAGTGTATTTGAGTACAAGGTATAGCACATAAAATAGACATGTATAGCTATGTTTTATTTTTTTAATGTAAATCTTAACTAAAATCAAAACACTTTGATATAGAATCTAATTTTAATATAATAAAAAATAATAATACCTCTAAAATTACAAATGCATGTGTGACTTACTTGAGAGAATCCAAAGCTCTCCAGTCAATATCTGTGATTCGAAGTGTAAGCACTGTGTTTTCTTTTACACTTTCTGGAAGTCTGGGATGATCAGAGCTCAAAAATGTCAAGTTTGCGCCCTAAAGAAGTTAACAAATGAATTATTTTAACTATGAAGTATATAAGAAGTAAAACACAACTAATTTTAAATATTCAATTTTGATTACATCTAATGTAGTATACTTTTATACTAATAAATAAGTATATTGAGAGAATATTTAGAAACCACACAGGCTTCAGCTAATAATATAGGAAAATAGAATTAATTTCATAATCTCCCAATTTGAACAATCTTAGATGTAACAATTGACATGAAAAAAAATAAGAAGAATTTCAGTTTATATTTTTTTTAAGAATCAGAGGAAAAAAGAACAAATTATCTCCGTGGAAATTACAACACTCCAAAACATAGAAATAGAGCTACTGATCTACAGCCAGATGTGCTGCCCGCTGATGAACTATGACAGATGCACTAGCCTCTTTCACCCGGTGTTTTGAACACGACCGTATGTATGTGTTCACTGCTGTGGGGCCTCCGGTGCTTTGTGCAGGCCTTCTCCAGCTGCGGAGAGTGGGGCCTTCTCCAGCTGCAGAGAGCGGGGCCTCCTCTGCCGCAGGGTGAGGCTCCTCCCTGCAGTGGCTCCTCTCTGCGGAGCGCAGACCCTACCACGCGGGCTTCAGCAGCTGTGGCCTGCGGGCCCTGTGCGGGCTCAGGAGCTGTGGTGCGAGGGCTTAGATGCTCCATGGCGTGTGGCATCTTCCCAGACCAGGGATCCAACCCATGGCCCCTGCACTGGCAGCTGGATTCTTATCCACTGCTCCACCAGGGAAGTCCTCTTTCACCTGGTATTTTGATAACAAATATTACATAAATGTAAAACTAAGCTTTGAAAAGCCCCTGATGCTGGGAAAGATTGAGGGCAGGAGGAGAAGTGGACAACAGAGAATGAGATGGCTGGACGGCATCACCAACTCGATGGACATGGGTTTGAGTGGACTCTGGGAGCTGGTGCTGGACAGGGACGCCTGGCATGCTGTGGTTTATGGGGTCGCAGAGTTGGACACGACTGAGCGGCTGAACTGAACTGAACTGAACTGAAAACTAAGCTTAACCTGTTTAGAGAATCAAGGCTTTGGTGAAAAAATTCCCCTCGAAAATCCTTCATCCAAACTTAGAAAATGGTTATTTTAATTTCTGAGTTTCTCAAATATCAGTCAGTTCAGTTCAGTTCAGTTGCTCAGTCCTGTCCGACTCCTTACAACCCCATGAATCACAGCACACCAGGCCTCCCTGTCCATCACAAACTCCTGGAGTTTACTCAAACACACATCCATCAAGTCGGTGATGCCATCCAGCCATCTCATCCTCTGTCATCCCCTTCTCCTCCTGCCCCCAATCCCTCCCAGCATCAGGGTCTTTAGTTTCCTCATCTATTTGCCATGAAGTGATGGGACCAGATGCCATGATCTTAGTTTTCTGAATGTTGAGCTTTAAGACAATTTTTTCACTCTGCTCTTTCACTTTCATCAAGAGGCTTTTTAGTTCCTCTTCACTTTCTGCCATAAGGGTGGCGTCATCTGCATATCTGAGATTATTGATATTTTTCCTGGCAATATAGTCAAATATAAATAAACACAAATTTAAAATAATATGCTTAACTATCTCTTTTGAAAATAAGGGAAGAGATTTCTCTCCTTTTTCCTAGAGCATTTACTTTAGAAAACTATAAGTACTTTCTCCACTCTTTGAAATGTATATAAATTCTCTTGAAATTATTATTTAGACAATAGAGACTACTTGATATGTATAAAGTAATTCAATGCAATCTGGTCCTTTGTACTAGTTTTCAATCCATTCCCCAGACCGAAACCAGAGAAATCTGTCTAAATCACAAACCTATTGATGCTACCTCCTTTCATTCTATCCACCTTCTTACCTTTCAGTGACTCCCCAAGACATTTTAGATAAGTCTTTAACAAAAGGCCACTCTTAGTAAGTTCTCATTTGCCTCTTGCTGATCCCCACCTTGAAGTCGAGTTCAGTAGGACTGAACTTTCAGTTCTCAAAAAAAGCCATATCTTTCGAGCTTTTGTTCTTTGCATAACCTGTCTTCTCACCTGAAAGCCTTGCCTCCCCTCTTCCATCTACATATCCTGGCCTGCCTACGTCCAGGTTGGATGGCACTCCCTGAAGAAGCCTCCTTTGACTCTGCAAAATTGGGTCACTGCCCTGCCTATCTGGCCCTCTGATCTCTTTCCCATTAGAATATAATTCCCACAAAAGCAAGGATTCTTTTCAAGTTATTTACAGTTCTATTTCCAATGCTTAGCCTATGAGTATATGTTTTATATGAATGCTCACTGTGGGTAGTGAGATAACATGAATGTGATCACTTCAAATTTCAGAGCAGTGTACAACTTCCAACATTACCTATGATCAATTCACACTAAGGAATCCTTGTGATATGCCACACACCAGGACTTGTGCCAAGCAGGAAAATCACAAGGAAAGTGAGCTAACCAGGAGATCTATGACAGCTCCAGAAGCCAAGCACCCCTCTGTGTGGAGAAAAATGTATGTCCCCAGAAGATAAGCCTGCATTAGGAGGAGAATTACTCCTGGTACTACTGAAGTAACCGCTGACCCAGTGGTACGGCCTTTAAAAGCAGCCAAACAGCAGCTCTCTGGGCTTCCATTGCAGGGTAGGTTGGGGGGAGAGGGGAGCTGAGTAGGGTCACAAGGAATAAACGCTATGCTTAGATTCAGACCACTGGGATCTGGACCTGAGAGGCACCCCCTCTCCTAGAGAAACATCAACATTGGCCAACATAAATGCCCCTGCCCAGGAAAGAGGGAAAAGAATAAACTGGGAATGAGAAACCCTGCTCCCCTAGCCCCACAGGATCCCTCAAAATCCAACACCAGGTAGTAAAACATGAGCGCACACACACTGAACTTACAATATAAAGATCACCAAGTCGGTACTGCTTTCCTTTTCTTCGTCCACGCTGATGACAATAAATGTTTTTTTGAATAAAAGGAAGCACATTTGTTCTAGAAGTTAAATGACAAAAATGTGAAATTATTCAGCTTCTCTGGGAAAAGGTCATCTTGAGGGCTGTAACAATGTTTAACGGCATACCTGTTTTTCCCAAATTGCCGATACTCATAAATTGTAAGGGACTGGTCATGAATGAAAAAGAATCCGACAAGCTCTCTGCAAGCATCACGTCCATTTCTAGAAAAAGAAAATGGTATCAAAGATTTTCAAATGGGATACTTTTCATATTTAATGATAGATGGATTCTATGTGTCAAACAGAGATACCAGGATTTGCTCAAAAGCATGGTTATGGGAAACCACAAGGAAAAAATGACAGAGCTTGCCAAAGTGTCAACTTAATTCTGATTTGGATGGAGAAAAAAGCTTTATCTTATACTAATATGAATATGGATATATGACAATGTAGATTACTAATTTGGCTTGGACTTTTAAGATAGTGAAAGACCTTAAAAAAATGTTGAGCTTGCAAGAAGCCACAAGATAGATATACATTTATTACCTTTTGTCATGGAAATTTTAAAATCACTGAACAAATATGCTTATTTCTAAAAAGCCACCTTACCTTTAATATTCATGCAGAACATCAAGTAGCATTATGTGCTACTGGCAGTTTGCAAGACTAGATAACAGATTTAAGAACCACCTTCCTGGTCACTTTACTACATCTACCAATGTCACTTTACTACATCTACTGTTACTTTAAGCCATTAAAGTGAAGTTAAATAAATTACAAAAAGGTTAATATTTAAGTAGTTTAGAATCTTCTAGTCGTAACATGTATCTTTAAAAATTCAATTTTACTTCTTTTTGAAAGACATTTTAAAATCACATTTTAAATAATTTCTAATTAAAATGTTTTTCTTTTCGACTCATACTCCTCATAATTTTTGTAAGAGATTAAATATATATTACCTAAAAATGTTTGTGGTAAATTCACTTAAATGTAAAAAATTTAACTAATTTCATTAATGCTATCTCTATTTGAAAAGAAAATACCTTTTAATAATCATAGGATTAAAAAATGTAATAAAGTCACAATTACCTTGATATGATCCTACCATCAAACTGCACTTTATGAGAAAGGATATTTTCAGTTAATGTAGACTGGGTCCTTATCCTGGTAAGAAATACAATGGTTAATAATTATCTTTAAAATATCTACATTAGAAAAGAAAAGTACCCAAGAGTTACGGCAGTATTTTCAAATGCACATATTGGATAAAGATGAGGTGTAAACCTCTTTTTATTCCAGACTGCTATTGCTAAGGCAGGCAGGAGAAAGAATGCTGAGCTGTGGTATATAATGGGCTTCCCTGGCGGCTCAGTGGTAAAGAATCCACCTGCCAATGCAGGAGACGTAGGTTTGATGCCTGGACCAGGTAGATACCCTGGAGCAGGAAAGGGCAACCCGCTCCAGTATCCTTCAGAGGAAAATTCCATGAACAGAGGAGCCTGGTGGGCTACAGGCCATGAGGTCGCAAAAGAGTCGGACATGACTTAGCAACTAAGCAAAAACAACAAATTGTATATAGTACATGAATAACTTCTCTGCCAGAATGTATCGTGTCAAAGTGCTACGACAGCCAGTATGAACAGAGGTCGCGTGTTTGTGTCTGGCATTGTGGCGAAGCTAACCAACAGCCATGTCCAAGCCTCTTCTTCGCCTCTCTCCCATCACAGGATTTGCATTCTTAGCCTCTTACAACTAGAAGTGACTAAGGGACCCAGCTCTTCCAGTAGACTTCCAGGAAAGACTTTCTTTTGTGCTGATGAGAGGATGGCCCGGAAAGAGTCCCTGCCTGTGAACACGGCAGGGATATGATGCTGGCAGCCACAGAAGCCATCGGGCAACCGGAAAGATCTCAGGGAAGCCAGCCCAGAGCTGTGCCTCACTGAGCCACCGAACTAAAACCAACAGCTGGCCGCCTCCAAGCAGCCGGTTGTATAAGGAAAATAAATCCTGATTCGTTTAGGCCACTGTCAGTCAGGTCTTCAGTTATGGGTAGCCGAAAGTATTCGTTGCCAAAACAGGGTAGAGACAAAGAGCGCTGGATGAGGCCACAGTTCTAGCTGTGAGACCTCGAATCAGGTATTTAATCTTTATGGCTTTTAGATGGCACTGAATGACCTCACAGAGACTGCCAGTCCTAAAATTCTGTTTAACAATATGAAGCAAAACCCAATGACACACACTTTGACACCCTACTACCAATATTCTCCTCTGAAGATTCAGTGATGTCTCTTTACGTCCCTTCCTAAGTAGTTTTATGATATTCCCATAAAACTGCAGCTATAATGAAATTGCAATACTGTAAACAATAAGTGTGTAGCTCACTGAGATCTTGAAATGTCATACCTCTATAAAAATCTAGGTCTCAATGAAAGGTAAGCAACATACAGCAAATAAGAACCTATAAATCAAATGAGAGTTCTGAACACAGAGTGGAGCCATGAAAGTTTGGTCATCTCAATTCACTTTAATCCATTAGTAATAACATGTTCATTGAATGCCCACTATGTGCCTGAAACAATTCTAAATGCTGAGAAAATAAAAGCAATAACAATAATAGCTACTATTTATTAAGAACTTCCCAGACACTAGTCTGTGTTAAAATCTTTTTAATGTGTATTGGTTCATTTAATCTTTGTAGTAACTCAATGAATTAAGTGTTATTATCCCCATTCTAAAAATAAGGTTTATACAGTTAAACAGTTAGCACATGGCATAGCCAAAAAAAAAAAATTGCTCATAACCATTACATTATATTGCTTCACAAAGGTAAACAGAACTCAGTTTAACAGTGATAGATTGAAATAACAGCTTCAAGGATTCTAGTCTTCTTGAAAAGACAAAAATAAAAAATAGACATTTATATTATAAAATGGGAAGTTCCATGTTGGAGTTTTTGGTATCCAATACATAGCACCAATGCTTCTCCAAGTTCTTAACCAATGGAGAAATAAGAATCAGGTGGATGAAGACTCACATATAAAACCATCGGGCAACCGGAAAGATCTCAGGGAAGCCAGCCCAGAGCTGTGCCTCACTGAGCCACCGAACTAAAACCAACAGCTGGCCGCCTCCAAGCAGCCGGTTGTATAAGGAAAATAAATCCTGATTCGTTTAGGCCACTGTCAGTCAGGTCTTCAGTTATGGGTAGCCAAAAATATTCCTTGCCAAAACAGGGTAGAGACAAAGAGCGCTGGATGAGGCCACAGTTCTAGCTGTGAGACCTCGAATCAGGTATTTAATCTTTATGGCTTTTAGATGGCACTGAATGACCTCACAGAGACTGCCAGTCCTAAAATTCTGTTTAACAATATGAAGCAAAACCCAATGACACACACTTTGACACCCTACTACCAATATTCTCCTCTGAAGATTCAGTGATGTCTCTTTACGTCCCTTCCTAAGTAGTTTTATGATATTCCCATAAAACTGCAGCTATAATGAAATTGCAATACTGTAAACAATAAGTGTGTAGCTCACTGAGATCTTGAAATGTCATACCTCTATAAAAATCTAGGTCTCAATGAAAGGTAAGCAACATACAGCAAATAAGAACCTATAAATCAAATGAGAGTTCTGAACACAGAGTGGAGCCATGAAAGTTTGGTCATCTCAATTCACTTTAATCCATTAGTAATAACATGTTCATTGAATGCCCACTATGTGCCTGAAACAATTCTAAATGCTGAGAAAATAAAAGCAATAACAATAATAGCTACTATTTATTAAGAACTTCCCAGACACTAGTCTGTGTTAAAATCTTTTTAATGTGTATTGGTTCATTTAATCTTTGTAGTAACTCAATGAATTAAGTGTTATTATCCCCATTCTAAAAATAAGGTTTATACAGTTAAACAGTTAGCACATGGCATAGCCAAAAAAAAAAAATTGCTCATAACCATTACATTATATTGCTTCACAAAGGTAAACAGAACTCAGTTTAACAGTGATAGATTGAAATAACAGCTTCAAGGATTCTAGTCTTCTTGAAAAGACAAAAATAAAAAATAGACATTTATATTATAAAATGGGAAGTTCCATGTTGGAGTTTTTGGTATCCAATACATAGCACCAATGCTTCTCCAAGTTCTTAACCAATGGAGAAATAAGAATCAGGTGGATGAAGACTCACATATAAACTTTCTTATTGCTAAAGCAGTTGGAAATCATGGTTTAGAAATGGAGCAACATCAAGCTAAGTCCTTAACACTAGACTGAAGCAGACTAGCCCACTCATTCCCACTGGGGAGGCGCCCTGTGAAGCTCGGTGCACGGGACGGAGTGTGCACTTCTGCAGACAGCTGGGTCTAGGAGCAAGAGCAGAGGAAGGCCTGCACGACACGTGCCAACGCCTGCTTCCCGCTCTATGGAGCAGGATCTTCTCCTCTTCCTCTGGGAATAATGGCTAAGGGCAGTGAAGTCCACCCATTCGATAATTCTAAGCAAAACCCCACAGGATGTTTTGTAGAACTAGACTAGCTAAATCTAAAACTTATATCGAAGAGGAAGGAGCCAAAGTGTGCCAAGATAATACTAAAGCTAAACAAGCTTTAAGTATTTAATATATAACAGTACTAATTAACACAGGATAATTCTGGTGCAGGGAGGCATAACAGGTAGATGAGACCGAACAAAAAACAACAACAACAACAACCACCACCTAGAAACCAACCATACATTTGTAACAACTTCATATATGACATAAGTGGCATTACAAGTCAGAGAGAGAACAAGTTAGTGGTAGGGAGAGATTTTGTAAAGATACAAACGACACTAACAATAAATGGATAGATTGGTAAACTGGTCTACAATAAATTTAGCAACTCTTGTTCATCAAAAGACATGATCAAGAGAATGAAAAGGGGACCAGAGGATAGGAAAATACACTTCCAACAAATATAGCTGAAAAAGGACTTATAACTAGAATATATAAGTAAGTTCCACAAATCAATATGGAAAAGATAACAGAACCCAATAGACTTGAAGGGACTATATAGGATATCCTACAAGAGGATACCCAGATGACAAACAAACATATGCAGAAGTGCTCAACATCATTAGTCTTTAGTGAAATGTAAGTGAAAATCACCAATATATACCCATAAAATCACCAATATGTTCAAACTACCACACAACTGCACTCATCTCACAAGCTAGCAAAGTAATACTCAAAATTCTCCAAGCCAGGCTTCAACGGTACATGAACCATGAACTTCCAGATGTTCAAGCTAAATTTAGACAAGACAAAAGATTCAGAGATCAAATTGCCAACATCCATTGGATCATCAAAAAAGCAAAAGAATACCAGAAAAACATCTACTTCTGCTTTATTGACTATGCCAAAGCCTTTGACTGTGTGGATCACAACAAACTGTGGAAAATTCTTAAAGAGATGGGAATACCAGACCACCTGACCTGCCTCCTGAGAAATCTGTATGCAGGTCAAGAAGCAGTTAGAACCGGACATGGAACGACAGACTGGTTCCAAATCGGAAAAGGAGTACGTCAAGGCTTAACTTAAATGCAGAGTACATCATGACAAATGCTGGGCTGGATAAAGTATAAGCAGGAATCAAAATTGCCAGGAGCAATATCAACAACTTCAGATACACAGATGACACCACCCTTATGGCAGAAAGTGAAGAACTAGATTTTCTTGATGAAAGTGAAAGAGGAGAGTGAAAAAACTGGCTTAAAACTCAACATTCAAAACACGAAGATTATGGCATATGGTGCCATCACTTCATAGCAAATAGATGGGGAAACAATGGAAACAGTAACAGAATTTATTTTGGGGGTTTCAAAATCACTGCAGATGGTGACCGCAGCCATGAAATTAAAAGAAGCTTGCTCTTTGGAAGAAAAGTTATGACCAACCTAGACAGCATATTAAAAAGCAGAGACATTACTTTGCCAACAAAGGTCCATCTAGTCAAGGCTATGGTTTTTCCAGTAGTCATGTATGGATGTGAGAGTTGGACTATAAAGAAAGCTGAGCGCCAAAGAATTGATGCTTTTGAACTGTGGTGTTGGAGAAGACTCTTGAGAGTCCTTTGGACTGCAAGGAGATCCAACCAGTCCATCCTAAAGGAAATCAGTCCTGAATATTCATTGGAAAGACTAACGCTGAGGCTAAAACTCAGATACTTTGGCCACCTGATGTGAAGAACTGACAGTTTAGGAAAGATCCTGATGCTGGTAAAGATCGAAGGCAGGAGGAGAAGGGGATGACGAGGGATGAGATGGTTGGATGGCATCACCAACCTGATAAGCATGAGTTTGAGCAAGCTCCACGAGTTTGTGATGGACAGGGAAGCCTGATGTGCTGCAGTCCATGGGGTCACAAAGAGTCAGACAGGACTGAGTGACTGAACTGACTGTTACCCATAAGAGGAACTAAAATGAAAAATATAGATAATTACCAGTACTTATAAAGATACGGTGCTACTAGCACCTTCTTACTGCTACTGGTGGGAGTTTTAATTGCAGCAACCACTTTGGAAGACTATTTGGCAGTATTCTTTAAAGCTGAACATATGCATAGTAAATGGGCCAGCAATTCCACTTCTAAGTGAGTACTGAGCAGAAATGAGCACACATGTTCACCAAAAAGCATGCACTAAAGTTCATGGCAGCACTATTCATAAACTGCCAAATGTCCACCAACAGCTGTGAATAAACAAACTGTGGTATATTCATACAATAAAATACTGTACAGTAATGAGGATAGAGGATAACTACAAATAACACAGATTAAACTCACAAACATAACGTTAAGCAAAAGAATTCAGACTCAGAGTCCAAGTTTTGTGAGTTCATGTAAATTTATAAGCAGACAGTAACAATCTACAATGTTAGGATGGAGAGGTTACCCTGGGGTGGCAGAGGAGCTGTGGAGTAAGTGAGGGGCAGCACGTGGATGGTTTCTGGGGTGCTGATCTATTTCTTGGTCTAGGAATAACACATACGTTTTGTGCAGTTTGTGAAAATTCCTATGCTGTACATTTAAAATGTGTTCACTTTGTGAATGAATGTTTTATTTCTATAAAAGTTTACTTTAAGAAAGAGAAGTTTAGACATGTGGTAGCTGAGTGATGACCCCTGAAAGATACTCATATCCTAACCTTCAGGACACATAGTTAATTTACACATGATAACAGGGACTTTGCAAACGTGATTAAGTTAAAGATCTGGAGATGAGATTAACCAGGATTATACAGGTAGGTTCAGTGCAGTCACAAGTGTTTTATAAAAGGAGAGCAGAAGGATATGTGATACCTACAGAAGAGGAACAGCAGAGTAATAACACTCCTCTGCTTTGAAGAAGGAAGAAGGGACCACAAGCCAAGGAATAAAGGCAGCCCCTAGACACTGAAAAAGGCAAAGAAGCGATTCTTCCCTGAAGCCTCCAAAAGGAATGCAGCCCTGTCAGCACCTTGATTGTAGGTTTCTGAACTCCAGAAGTGGAAGAGAATAAATTTGTGTCGTTTTAAAAATACTGTTCGTGATAATCTGTTACAGCAGCAATAGGAAATTAATACATGATACCTTCAAATATTTAAAGGTATGGAAACTTCTAGAAAATAAGATAAGGCTTCTAGAAATAAGATAAGAATGAGACAAAAGACCAAAGTTATAAGAAAGTACTGATAATTATAACAATCTGAAAATATTAAAAAACTGCTCTAAGAACTGGTGGGTTTTCTATTCTATTAAATCTGAGGCTCAATGTCAATTATCAGTGAAGTTGGTGAGAACTTCCAGTGGACTGCACCAGCGAGCCATAAAAGTCCACTACAGAGTAATAACACTCCTCTGCTTTGAAGAAGGAAGAAGGGACCACAAGCCAAGGAATAAAGGCAGCCCCTAGACACTGAAAAAGGCAAAGAAGCAGTTCTTCCCTGAAGCCTCCAGAAGGAATGCAGTCCTGTCAGCACCTTGATTGTAGGTTTCTGAACTCCAGAAGTGGAAGAGAATAAATTTGTGTCATTTTAAAAATACTGTTTGTGGTGATCTGTTACAGCAGAAATAGGAAATTAATACATGATACCTTCAAATATTTAAAGGTATGGAAATTTCTAGAAAATAAGATAAGGCTTCTAGAAATAAGAATGAGACAAAAGACCAAAGTTATAAGAAAGTACTGACAATTATAACAATCTGAATATATTAAAAAACTGCTCTAAGAACTGGTGGGTTTTCTATTCTATTAAATCTGAGGCTCAATGTCAATTATCAGTGAAGTTGGTGAGAACTTCCAGTGAACTGCACCAGCGAACCATAAAAGTCCACTCCAAACCAAGTACTTTGTGCTTCACAAAGGACTTGGTACTTTGTACTTTGTAAAAGGCAAAAAGTAATATTTTTTAAAAAATACTAATTTTGAATATATTATGTCATCGAAATTCAGCCAACATACATTATGCACATACAAATGTCTTGGTTACTACATTGTGTCTTTTCACATGTATTATTGCCTAAATTTCTGGCTGTCATTCCTAAATTATAAGTAGAACATCTGGAGGGCAAAGTTTACCCCAATATCTTAAAGTGACAGAACTGGGATCTGAACTCCAAAAATTCCACTTTCCTTTATACAGAAAAACTAAAAACACAAAGGAAAAAATTTCCATTAGATACAAAAGTACACTTGAAAAATATATTTATAACATACTACATCCTTATTTTATATAAAGACCTTCTTACTTCGTTTCATGTAGTGTTCTTTTCCTAAATCGAATAGGTGCCAGCTTTGAATCTGGAAGGATATGAGCAATTTCTTGCTTCTCAGAGGTTAAATTTTGCTCTGGATCACTGATTACAGCCCTATACAGGAAAATACAACAGTCTGACAATTAAATACTATCATGAAATGCTCTAGTATTCACATATTTATAAGCAGTTGGAAAAACCCATATACAAATGCCAATTTATACTACTGGCAGAATGATCTGTCAGATATTAAATGAATAAATTTAATAATTAAAAACATCATAAAAGTGAATATTCTTATCTATCTCTTTTTCCATAAGTATTATCTAAAAATAAATTGAAATTTCTGGGAAAATTTGTAGCTTCAGGTCTTCCTCTTACTATTCTTTAAACAAAGACACTGTGCTGATGACTTCTTAATAAAAGACAGGAAGTAAAATATGTAAACAACCATATGGATTTCTGGGGTGGGGAGGAAGCATTCCAAGCAAAAGGGAAAATAAATGCAAAATACCGGAGACATCAGTGAATCTGGTATGTTTCAAAAGGGACGAAGCCAGATGGCAAAGCAGAGTAAACAAGAGAGACGTAGGAAAAGGAGTCTAGGGTCTAACAGTGGGCAAAGCATGCAGGGACTGGGGAGAATGTGTTACTGAACCCAGATTTTTAGCGCTCCTTATTCATGCCCTTGGCATGCCCTCATTATAAAGTTAGTGTACTTTCTTTGGCTTTAAGTTTAGCCATTGGAAATGCTTTGGCAGCCAGATGGCTCTGCTGATCTGACCTGAACTAATTCGTGCAAGTGTGGGTTGTTTGGGAATCTGTTCATCTAGGATAATCTTGGCTAAGTGGTCCAGCTGCATGTAGAGAAGGACTTTCTTTTTTGAGAACAACTGGGTTAACCAAGCTAACAAAGATGGCAGAAGCACAAACAAGCAAATGGAAACATGAGGTCTTTTAAGGATTAAACTCAGAATTAAGCCCACTGCTTTTGGTCATATATAACGGGCCAAAGTAAGTGAAAAGTAATAGCTACTCAGCCATGTCTAGCCTGGACAGCTGACCTGAAGACACATGAGCTATAATTCATGACTACTGTTCTAAGATACTAGGTTTTATAGTGATATGTAACCAATACATGTGCATGCTCAGTCACTTCAGTCATGTCTGATTCTGCAACCCCATGGACTATAGCCCACAAGGCTCCTCTGTGCATAGGAGTCTCCGGGCAAGAATACTGGCATGGGTTGCCATTTCCTCTTCCAGAGGATTTTCCCGACCCAGGGACTGAACCCTTGTGTCCTCCGTCTGCTGCACTGCAGCAGATTCTTTACCCACTGAGCCACCTGGGAAGCAACCAATACATAGGTCTTACAGATTTTACTCTGATTGAGATGGGAAGTTACTGGAAGGTTTGATGTGGCTTATGTTTTTAATATACTCACTCTGGCTGCTAGGTTGAGAACAGACCAACTAGGGGCAAATGCAGGTACAATGAGTCCAATTAGAAACTGTCTGAAATAATCCAGGAGATAGGAGATGACAGGGTGAACATGGAGCGGGGTAGCAGGGGGGGATAAATTTATTTGATGGGAGACCTGAGTTTGCCAACGAACTGCATGTTGGATTTGAGAGAAACAGAAGGATTAAAGGCATTAACAAGATTTTAGGCCTAAATAACTTGAAGAATTATTACAAATAGCTGAGAAAAGAAAAGATACAAAAGGCAACAGAGAAAAGGAAAGATATACCCATTTGAATGCAGAGTTCCAAAGAATAGCAAGGAGAGAAAAGAAAGCCTTCCTCAGTGATCA